TCGATTGACTCGCGATTTACGATATTAAAACAAGGAAGTCGAAGTTTCTCAAATTATAGAGAGTAATCATTTCAGATCATAATTGAGGAGGAACCAAGTGATTTAATTTTAAGAGTAACATAATATTTATTTTATAATTTCCATTCCATTGACACCTTAACAATATTTCGTGGAAATCTTCGGAAATATCTGGAGACATTTATAGCCTTGTTTATATTTAACGATTCTTTCAACCACTGAAATGGTATTATCAAGGAGATATTTCATATTCCGTGGCAGTCGCGAAAATTGAAACGGTCTATACGAAATACTCAAATAAAGCATCCATTTCAGTACCTTTGTGATGGAACAATAAAGCATACCCCTCCCACCTATCCACCCCCGAAATATCGCGCTCTATTGAATATAAATGGGAAATCTAACCCCAAATATTTCGATATCGTGTTGTTTATACAAGCTGCTTTGTAATGGACTTTTTTAACTGAATTTTTTTCGTTCTATTTAATCTTTAAGTAAATCTGACATTGAGATTTCTTGCAAATCACCATTTCCTTTTGTTGGTTTATAAGCTCTGTATTTTAAAATTATACTTTGTTACATATAGGGATTGGAAATTTTAAAGCGATGACAAGTTTAAATTATTCGCAGTTCATCATTCATCAGTCTGTTGATGTCCTCATTGGAGTACAGGTACAGCAGAGGTGAATGTAGCAGACCAACAACTTATCGTCTCTACTGAAGCATGAAAGAGCTCTAGATTGCAACCTTTCGATTGCTAAAATAGTTATAGCTACTTTTAATCAATGAAACTTAATTGTCGTTAGTTATAAATATGATTAACTTAATGCAATTTTGTATACGGATACCGCGTCCTAGTGCAAAAGTAAACTTAATTTCACATATTCTAACATATTCAGGGGCACGCTCGCACCACAACGTATGAACTTACGTGTAATTTAAGTTATTGTTGGTACACGACATTGTAGTAAGTTGAGGTTTTCATAGACGCAACAATAATACATATTCTCCTAGATGAGAAAATGAATTTTACAATGTTGTCATGTTGTCTTTTAAAAACACTTATTACACTGAAATGAAGTTTGAAATACATAGTAAAGCCAATTTATGGTAAGAATTGTTTCAGGTATATATATATATATTTTTTTTCAATATCATGTCGCTATAGAACAGTATGTACAACTTTTAAGTTTTAATATATAACCTAGCAATAAATATCTATTGACATTTCATATAATTAAACATATATTTGGATTTCTAAATAATAATAACTAAAGGGACAACTAGATAATTATATTTATATAGAAACTCAAGTCATAACCATCTTTCTGGATAAACAAAACAGTTTGGCTTTTTGCCTAGTCATAGAACATTCAATTAGTTACTTAAAGTGACAATTACATATTATCAGTAAGTCTTTTTTTCCATTCATTTATATATTCCAAACCTAAAATACTATGTTGAAAGTCTTAAATTTAGTATTTTGTCGAATAAATTATAGCAAAGTTAATGTTACAGTACAGTTGGGTTACAGCAGGCACTAGTAACATAATTGTTGAAATCACAAATGATTATTAAAATTGCTGTAACTTAACATAAATTTTCAATCAGTAGGCTCATGCTAAATCGGTTTGAGTACCTCTCTATCAAGAAGTACTCGTCGAGTATTTCATAAAGAGCACTTCACACAGAAGGGTGATTTTGTAGACCGTGAAATGGACATTTTATATTATTAGACAACTGACATTATGCGAATGAGAAAATTAAACGAACAAAAATGGCAAGCACTTATAAAATCATTCAGTACAGTAAAGATTCAAATGTTTTTCCAATAACTATTTTAAGACCTTCGTACCCTAGGACCAGGTTCGACTCCCAGTTGGATCAATGTAGAAAATGAACTTTTCCATATTCTTTGTGTTTGGAATTTTGAAATAATTAATGTTGTCTAATATTTGTTTGTTTAAAAAATAAGTTTACGAATAGATGTTTGATTGTTAAAGTACATTGTTATACTGATGTATATTTATTAAAGAGACTACAGCCCGAAATTTTTCAACCAAGTAAGTAAGTTATCCAGTGCGGTATTCAAAGTTGGCAGTTCAACTGTTGTTTCTGACAGCTGTATAGCTAGAAATACTAACTACGGAGTCAAATTCCAGTTAGAGAAAAGTTTCACACAGAAGAACAAAGACTCTAAAGTCTACGTATACTATTTTTGGGTTTAATTGGTTCTAACGAAATTGCAAAAGTTATACATATTTGATGTTGACGTTATCACGATTCGCAGAACTCGTTCCATTATTTTAGATATATAAAATAATTGATTAATAATGCAAACAATTTTGATAGTACTCTTATTGTTGCCAAGAACTTGTATTTTGTTATTTAAACTTAATATTTAACTTGATTCGAAAATGGTTCAGAATACTTAATCGGAACTTAACTAAAACTGCTGAAACTGGCCCTTAATCTCTTAAATGAGTTACAGTTAGTTGTACAGTTAGTTGTAAATTATAAGCAAATTTATTTAGGTAACTGAAATAACAAGAGTTTCACTTACATTGCTCGCGTGTTTCGCTATCTTAAAAGGTAATAATTTCAAAGCTGTGAACTTGGAGTTAAGCACCATTAAAGATATTTATCACTTAACTTTCTAAGTTACATTTAAAGGTCTTCATGTTATTTGATTTGAAGTATGGCGTATTTAATGCCTAACTTTGGTATGGATCGGACTCAAGTAGTAGAAGTACTTTCGTTCTAGAGGTATCTTAATCTATAGCTGTAGCTGTAGCTGAATCTAAAGCTGTTCAGCTTTTATATTCTGTTAAAATTACGACATCGAAATTAGCATCGAATACAGCGCTGTCAGCATTAAAGTTTCAACCAAATGAAACGTTTATTATTTTTTGAAGTATGTTATATATATTGTACAGCTCTTTGTTCAACGCTATTTTGGAACAGAATACCTCCGTTTCAATTTTAATTCAAAATCCATTTCAAATGCACTATTTATTAAAATATAAATTATTTTGGCTATTTCTAGATAGTATGGTTTTATCTGAACTAATATTATAAAGAGGGAAGGTTTGATTGTTTGGTTATTGGAATTGCTTCCGAAACTACGGAATCAATTGTTTCACGTACGGGAAGCTACATAATATATGGGCATATGTATTAATTTAAGCGGGTGACGACGCGGGAATACTAGTGGAAAAATAAGACAATATACAGAAATATCTGGCCCGGGCAACTCGCTCGAGGATTCGTTTTAATAACTCACGGTACGTCTTTATTAAAATAATTACTCGAAATATGTTATTAACATCAACCATCGGTACCCACTTTAATATCATTCAGTTGCTTTCGCTTCGCTTGCGTGAGTCTGTATTTTAATGAGGCTTTCGGGTGCCCTTAATCATTTTTGGGATATACTTTCTAAGAACTTGTTTAATTCAGGGACCGTAAAGAATTTTTGTCGCGATTCCACAAGGAGGAGCTACAATTTTAAGCGGCACTGTCGAGTTTCTAATTAAGATTTCTGACACACTTCTTGCGATGCTTTTTCTCCAAGATTAACTTTTCCGTGCGAATGCCGTTGGTGTTTATGCAAACGTCCAAAAAAGTTAAATGACTTACGGAACGGGAAGACTTGAGGAAAAATAAACATTCCCTTTATACCCATTCTATCTGAATAATTCACATCATCGATTTTTGAGAGTAGCTCGAGAGAAAACTGTCTTCGTCTTTTTTTGTGTTATCACTTTTACACATTACGTGAATCGCATGAAATAAGATCGTGGATATAATTATAACTTATTTTGTGCTATCACTTTTCACATTACGCGAATTACATGAAATAAGATCGTGGATATAATTGCATAATTTTTGTATAATAGATTAAGCGCTTTTGATTTGAATATTATAACGTATATACGTGTGCTTTGGGTGTAGGCTTCTGCGAGCCTATTCTATATCAAAACAAATCAGTGCCCTTATTTTACATCTGCTATACCTGTAGAATGAAAACTCGAGAACATTTTGCCTTCACCCAAATGTCACTTTTCTTAGTTGTTCCCTTACGTTATCTTACTGACTGGAGAAAAGTGCCGTCTTGACTTTGTCGTGCTTCCGAGAATTACCTTAGGACTTTTATAATTTAATCTGCGATTTAGTTAAAAGGTGCCAATACTCAACGACACCGTTTTACCTACCACATAACTGGGATAGTTATGTTATGGCTATATGATAGTTATGGCTTAGGATCTAGTCGATAGATCTCTCTAAGCATTAAATGGATAGATATACATATATCTATTTGAATCGGGCGTCTTTTTAAAGGTATTTTATTTGCACTCAATTCAATGAAAAAAAACGGGTTATGAATGAACATGAATATTTTAATCAAACTTTACGTTGAAAGTTTAAATGTCGTAGTGATTGATTGAAGTAAAAAGTTAGGTGCGTAGTTAATTTTGTTAGGTATTTAATTAAATGACTGATGAGCCACGAAATTAATCGGTTACTATTACCAATCAACTCGAATATGCACCGTTTTCTTTTAAATATTTCACGTTTATGTACAAAGTCAAAGTCAAAATAATCTTTATTCAAATACATCTACTTTCAATGTCCTCACTGTTGAGGCACATACTTTCCCTTTGAGTGTCAGATTCAGATTGAATACGGAGAATGGGCCATTCCCCACCACGTCAGCCCAACGCGGATTGGTGGGTGTTAACGACTAACGACGTTAAGATACAGCCGGACCAACGACTCAACGTGCCTTCCGAAGCAAGAGCTCGAAGCAGTAATTTTTTGGTCACCCATTACCGTTACCTTTGCCGGCCCTTGCGAAAGTTACTTTACAATAATATCGAATCATAATCGGACCGAAGGTGCCATTGCGCTATCGAGCTTGTCGCTGTAACATTATAATATTAATATAATTGATTTTTCATAGAATAATTTATTTGTTGCAGGTGGCGTTGGCAGTAATTCCAGCGTTTCCGTGTCAGCTCAGGTGAGATGGAAATATATCGTGCCGTATAAACTTTGTAGGTTTTATTAGTGAACTTTTGAATCTTTTTTATTACCAATAAATTAAAAAATTACAATCTTATATGTTATACTGAAAAAACAATACTACACACTGACTGAAAATATTCTTACAGTGATTCACTGACTGAAAATATTCTTTCAGTGATAAAAATAGTGATTAAAAATCACTATTTTTATTTTTTCATTTTGAATATTATTCTGATAACAGTAATATTTTATTTTACTTAAAATAGGCAATTATAAATCGATGCATATTATCACATCCTGGGCGGCAATAATATTTGAAGTACTTTGTTCGTTTGAGAGATTAGACAAAATGTTACAATAAATAAATTAGGTATACTATCTATCAAAACGAACATGATGTTTGAAATGCATCCATTGCTCAAAGTCCGCGCCTGACGTTGAAACTATTTAACATCAGGAGTGGACTGACTAGGTCAGCGGCATAGAGTATCGTGCAACATTGTGGCAGGGCCATAAAATGTTTGCCAAACCATTGTTAATTCGGCTTTCTTTTTGTTATTCTTATATTTATATAGGAAAGTTTTGATTGTTTGTTTGCATTGAACAGGTTCCAAAATTACCGAACCGATTTTGGAAATTCCTTCTAACTAATTTACTCGGGCGAAGTCGCAAGAAAATAGCTAGTATTTGGAGTAACAGTAGTACAGCATCTAAAAATAGTACACTAGTGCAGGTTGGTGTGTGTTCTAAAATGAGGTAAAACGCGAGATAACAAGTTCACTGTATGAATGAATGAATGAATGAATGAATGAATGAATGAATGAATGAATGAATGAATGAATGAATGAATGAAAAATTCTTTATTGTACACCAATGGACAGAAACAAATATAAGGATACAATAAATGTGAATGCACAATTGGCGGCTTTTTTACTAAAAAGTAATTTCTTCCAGGCAACCTTGTGAACTGAACGAAAATTATATCTACTTTAGATTAGATGCACTATCAAGCGAGATTAATACCAGTTTGTAATAACATATATTTTATAATACCGTCACTGACATTAACAAATCCAGTAAAACTTACGAGATGTAAGTCAACGAGACGTACAAATCTTTTACATGCGTGTCTGTGCAAATATAAACATTTCTCCAAGGAGGTAAGGTTAAAATAAGTTTTTTTTTGGTAAAAAAACTAGCCTATTTGAATTCTGGGTCACGTAGGGCAACATTCACTCTTGCACAGGCAGACGATATTTTAGGTTGTATTAAGGTTTTACGGGGGCGCGAAGAGGTCGAATTGATAAGGTGGCAAAGTTTACAACTCTTTGGTGAAAGTGAATTTTTAACATTTGTATAAAGGGCTTGAACAAATTGTCAAGGAATACCGAAGCGAATTTTTTTTTAACGAAATCCCTCAGTGAAAATCTTTTCTGATTGGATAGGTGAGATTAAGTTAAAATATATGTAGGGCTACTTGTTAAATTTATGCTTATGTATCTTGGAATTAGGAAGTATTGGGTTGGCACAAAAGTAATGAGACACACTAGAAAAATCTATAACATTTCCTTTTTAAAATCAATTTTTTCGATAATATTCTAGAATGTTGTAGAACATTCTAGGTACTTCTGGTGTAGGGTATATAAAGCCGCGCTCGCGATTTGTTTAGTCAGTTTGAAGAAAAATGGAAAAGCGACAAGTTCGAACACTATACTTATACGAGTACTTGTTAGGCCACAGTGCGCGGGCTGCGGCTGACAATATCAACAATGCATTAGGCGCTGGAAGTACAAGCCATGCGACGGTGTCCCGATGGTTTGACCGTTTTAAATCAGGAGACAGGAGCCTTGAAAGTCAGCCACGCTCAGGGCGACCACCCGCAGTGAATGATGACGATTTGCGCCGCGAACTGCAGTTGAATCCGGATGCTACCACTCGTGAATTAGCGGAAGCACTTAAATGCAGTCACCACGCCGTGGAACACCATCTGCATGAGCTTGGTTATCGAAAAGTTTTGGCTCGGTGGGTACCGCACATCCTTACAGACGCCAGTCGTGCAGTCCGTGTCGCTATCTGTCAGTCACTTTTGCTGCGACCCCGACGTAAAGAGTTTTTGTCAGATCTGGTTACTGGAGATGAATCATGGATTTATTACGAGAACGATACACGTCGTGCTTTTTGGCTGCCTCGAGAAGAAACGCCACCAACTCAACCGAAGCCGAGTCAAAAGAACCGCCGAAAAATTCTGCTTTGCTGTTTCTGGGATGCGCAAGGCATACTGTTTTATGAGCTATTACTCAATGAAACTATAAACGCTGACAAATATTCAACCCAGCTTACCAAATTATCTGCCGCTATCAAGAAAAAACGACGAAGACCAGTCAATGTAGTTTTACTGCACGATAACGCTCGACCTCACGTCGCATCTGTGGTTCGCCGGCAGTTGGAGAACTTGGGCTGGGAGACGATACCCCACCCAACTTATTCCCCAGACCTCGCCCCATCAGACTATCATTTGTTTAGAGCCCTGAAACAGCATTTGCGGGGTAAACAATTTAATGATTTCTCTGACGTAGAGGCGGAGTTGAACAACTTTTTCGAGGCACAGCCATCAGAGTTCTGGGCAAAAGGCATCCAAACTTTGCCGGATCGTTGGCAAGAAGTATTAGATACTAATGGTAATTACATCATTGACTAAACTTTTTTTATTGTTATAATAATAAAAAAGTAAAAACTTAAACCAAGTGTCTCATTACTTTTGTGCCAACCCGATATTAAAAAAACGAAAGCACTAAAAAAGCACCTCCACTTGATGGCGACTCTAGCAAAAGTTGATTTTTGCAGGAAACAAATGGACCAAAGACAGTCATTTCCGTTTCTTTTAACTAACATATTATAAATTTGAAATTGAAAAGTTCGAAACTTAGATATCAATACAAATACGAAAAAGTACTAATAGAATATGAGTTGCTTATTGAGTTCTGAAAACTTATTTACTTTTAAACTTGAAAGAAAACCGGAAAGGATGTCATGCAGAAATCAAGAACGTACCGTAGCGACATCTAGTTTGATTTCGCGAACTAATGTTTTTTTTTAATACTTTCTCATTTAGCTAAAGAGAGAGTCATGTGATGACGAACAGATAAATAGGTCATGCCCCATTCTCGAACATTCTTACCTCTTTGTATTGGATTATTCCTTCTAATCTATGAAATTTCGTTAAAAAATTAATAAAACAGTAATTTAAAGTTTCATAAACTTAGTTTATAAAAATTAATTCTCGATGGTAGTTAAATGTTTGTATTTAGTTTTATCAATTATAATTTTATGTAAAAACTAATTGCTGTATGGAATAATCTAAATGTATTGAGAATATTATTATAGTATTTTAATGTATCTATCAAAATGTAATAAACGTTTAAACCAAATTATCACTTCAACATATTTTAGGGAGACAGATGTTCCTTTCCTCTGTAAAAGTACTTAAAGTACTAAGCTTATTTAAAATGGTGATTTTCCCTTAATTAAATTCCGCCTGAAGCATAACTCGAGCCACCCTTTATTTTAAAGTTCCAGGTGTCTGTTTTAATGTTTATGATCTAAATTACAGGAGCTGGAGTGATACAAATTTGCTTAAGTAGTAGTTAATTTATGTTCATTTTCATTATTCTTACTGTTTTAGAATATAAAAGAAAATCTTACAACAATACAAACGTAATAAATACGTAAACATATCTTAATCTAACATTATACTTATAATGTGGTGACATCCTACAATGTTCGTTAAAGAAAATTATTGCAATACGGGTGTAGCTAATTTTATTTTTATGTGGCCACTGAATATATGAATTCGAGTACAAATTAACAAAATTTATAGTAATACAATGAAATATTTAAATAAAAATTTAAAACGTCTTTTAGTTATGATTACTGGTGACTTAATTCAGTGAACTACGGCAACTTCAACGATATAAAGCGTATTAAACCTGTTTTGTTAAAATAGTCTCATACATTTTATATTTTCAAAACCTTACATGAGCAATAATTTCAAATTCCAAAACACTAAAATGAAATTGTACTAACACAATAACACTATGGTTTTCTTCACATTTATATCTTTTAATAATTATGCAAACGAACGGTCAAGAAGTCAGACATGTAAAATACTCGTATTAACACCAAAATCAATGCAAGATTGTATAATTTTTGATATTTTTCTGAAATCAGTATCAGTTTTTTGTGCCCCAACTAAACTTTGTATCAATAATGAAAACTGTAACTAGTACGCAAAACAGAAAATTGAACTATAAAAGTTGTGCATCGGACTGTTTCGACCCAATCAAAACTTATACGGTGACTCTATAGAATCATAAAACAAGCAACTGCACAAAACGACGATAACAGCTGAGCGAAACTTTGTCAACCACACAACTAAATAATGGTGACGGCTTAAAAGCTTTCATTACTATGTGGTTCTATGAAAGCTTAGTTTGTTAATGTTGAGTTTTAGGGTCGAACGGAATTATTACGTTACATACACACGAAAACATTTAGGTAGCTTAAATACAGCTCCCACGTACGAAACTCTAATGAAAGAGATGTATTTAAGTATATAAATGCAAATTAATACTAAATGTGCTATTAAATACGTACATCTATAATCAGTTCGCCTATTTTGATATCAATTGAAAGTTGTTATATGGAGAGAAGAAAGAAAAATTGTGGAGAAAATAGAGAAAACGACACTTTTTTTCCATGAAGTTCTGTCAAAATCAATATAAAACAAAATATTTCATGCCGTAATTTGCAGAGCTTATAATGGAGGTAATATTTTTTTTCGGTTATTATATAAGCTATCAGCAAAATAAGGCGAGGTTCACTTTTAAGCGAGTCTAGGTGATCGTCACTGAAAACGAATACCAATGAGGATGAGTTTGCTCTGGACTACTTAATTTCATGAACTTTCTGCTTTCAGTTATGCACATTGTGGCGTAG